GCTTTTATTACTTCGTGTAGTCTGTTATTCCTTAGAAGAAAAAGCACCACGATGGTGCTTTTTCTTCTACCTAATTCATCCCACAGATGTTCGATAGGATTCAAATCTGGAGATTGTGGGGGTGTATGAAGTTACTTATCTATTTTAAATATAAGTCATTCCTTGACACGTTTAGCTGTATGTTTTGGACCGTTATCTTGCTGAAAAATAAATGACCTAGTAAGTCCTAATTTGTAGGCACTTTCTTCCAGATTATTTTTTAAAATGTTTAAATACACATTTTGATTCATATTTCCATCAATGAAAACCAAGTTACCTACACCAGAAGCACTCATACACCCCCAAACTTAAACACTTCCTCCACCATGCTTCACCGTTGGACACAAGTTTTGTTTTTTAAATGCTTCATTTGGTTTTCTCCAAACTTTAACTCTTCCATCTGATGAAAACCCATATTTTGACTCATCACTAAAAAGAACCATTTCCCAGAATGTCTGTGGTTCATTAATATAAAGTTTTGCAAAGTGTAGTCATTTGGTTTTGTTGACTTTGCCAATGAAGGGCTTTCTTAATGGTACTCTACTATTGTATCCATCTCTTCTTAAGGTTATTCTAACAGTTTCAGGGTCCACTTTTAAATTGTAATCATTTTGCAGCATTCCAGCAAGTTTCGGAGCACTTATTTTAGGATTTTGGATGACTGTTCTTAAAATAGCTTGTCGATGCAATACTTGAATTTTATTTGGATGTCCTGTTCGTGGCTTATCAGCAATTTTTTTGGTGGTTTGGTATTTCTTGATAATTGACTGCACAGTTGCATGTGATTTCTTTACTATTTCTCCTATTTTTTGCTGTGATTTTCACTCCTTCCATAGTCTAACAATAAGCGATCTAATTTCCTCTGCAACTCTCATTTTTTGTTAATAATCTAACACAAATAAAAAATATAAAAAATTCATATAGAGAAAAAATAATACAAAAATTTTACTAAATCTAATTATATATTTTTAAAATGTTACTTTAATACTGATTTAGTTACAAATTGAGAATGGAGTGCAGGGTGGATGAAAACTTTTTTTGGCGCTAAAACGGACATTTTATTTTTTATTTATTATTTTGTAAAATCTTTTTATACAATACTTCTTGAATGGTTAACTGATATAATTTAGTTAAAATTATACTTATACCTTTGCTGAATAAAAAGTTATCACATCTAAAAAATGTACAGAATAGGTGGATGAAAACTTTTTCGACAGAGTGTGTATATATATATATATATATATATATATATATATATATATATATATATATATATATATATATATATATATATATATATATATATATATATATATATATATATATATATATATATTTATATATATATATATATATATGGTCAATTCCACAAAATCAGGACATTATGAGTAAAAAGTTAACTAATAGTTTTGGTCTTTTTTGTTTTCTTTTTCGATTTCTATGGTATTTAACTAATGTTATATAGAATATCATAATAACATAAGACTTCTAAACAATAAATGTAACATTTTATTATATAAAATTTGAGCTTATATACATCTGAAAAGTGACGTGCGTGATGTATGGAATTGACCATATATATATATATATATATATATATATATATATATATATATATATATATATATATATATATATATATATATATATATATATATATATATATATCTTAATGACATCTTGTTGTCGTGTAATGGAAAGAATTATTAATAATGGGTTAATAAATTATCTTTTACTCAATAACATTATCACAAAAGAGCAACATGATTTTATTTGTAAAAGCAGTACTTACACTAACATTCTTGAAAGTCTTCATTAATCGGTTATATAAATCTCCACATTCCTACTGATATTGTTTATTTTGATTTAAAGGAAATTTTAGATCCAGTTTCACATCCTAAATTAGTAATAAAACTAGCTGCTTATGACATAATTGGCACTCTTCTGAAAAATATCAATTTTTTACATATGAGATCTCAAGTAGTTAAGTTAAGCAATATTTCATCTCATGCAATATCTGTGACATTGTGATGTTCCACAAGAAAGCGCTCTAGAACTTACTTTATTCTTATTGTTCATCAATGATATCAGCAGCATATATAAATAGCTTAACATTTTGCTGATGATATAAAACTTTATTCCACTTGTGATATAAGTCAGATCTTATTACAGCTGTTAAGCATTTGTATGAATGAAATACCAAACTGTTCATTACGGCTACAACATCCATACAACATAAAAGCATATTAACCTGGAACAATCTCCCTTCCCAAATAAAATTTCTTAAATCATTCTCATAATTTAAAACTGCTCTCTTTAACCATTTTTTAGAAAAATATTGTTTATAAATCTTTATATCTTTTTACAACTTATTATTTATAACCTAAATGCTGAACTTCTTTTCATCTATTATTTTTTCTCTTTTCTATTGTGGTATATTACTAATTTTAATATCATTTATTAAATTTATTATTTTAAACTGGAATGTTTCAATAGTGTTCTCTTTATCACTGTTGTTGTTATTATTACTATATTTTTATCATAATGAATATTATTATTGTTGTTGTTATTATTTTTGTTGTTTATCAATCAATCATCAATCAATCAATCAATATATTTCCACTTAATAACTACATATATATATGCAATAGTGAGAGGCATTTACAAACAGTTAAAAACTGATGATGCGTAAAGACCTACAATGATATAAAACAATTATTGTAAAATTATAACAATAACGAATATAACTATATTAATATTAATAGTAATGATAATAGATAACATAAAAGGCATAATTATTATTATAACTAGTTTTATACTACTATTTTTATATTTTATTATTACTGTTATTATTATTGTCATTATTATTAATATTATTATTATTGTTGTTGTTATTATTGATGTTATTATTATTTTTGTTGTTATTATTGCTGTAATTAATTTTATACTATTATTTTTATATTATTGTTGTTGTTATTGTTGTTATTGTTGTTATTCTTGTTATTCTTGTTATTATTATTGCTATTATAGTATATACTTTTTATAATTGCTACTATTATTTTTTTTATTACTATAATCACTACTATTACTTTTTTATTCCTACTTGTATTATAATTATTATTATTATCTCAATCTTATTTTATTTAGTCTGACAGGTGTTTACTTTATATTAGTACAAATTACTATTTGTAAATATCCTTGATATATATAACAACTATATTCAGAATATATTTGATTTGATTTGATTTGATTTTGATTTGAAGTAATAGTGACTTCAGATAGCAACTGAGAAATGCTTTGTTTGCACCATTACTAACCAGAACCAAAATTCAACTAATTATGTTTATAGTTTAAATAGCAAGGAACTTGATTGTGTTAATCCTATTGGCAATCTTGGAGTTATGATTGATAATCACTTGAAATTTGATCGGCAAATTCTTCTTATTGTACATAA